TTGACAAATTCAGGATATAGGTCCTAGGGTAAATTGTGCGATTAGAAGGAAAATCGTAGTCGACTGGTCTGCTTGAAGATGATACAGGTGAGATTGAAGTCGAATCTCAGTGTAGAATGCCTCCGATTATTGTCCAAAATCTATAGGTCGCGAAATGAGAAATACAGTTGAAAGCCGAGGGGGACGGCGACCTGCAGCAGTCTGCGATGCGCCCACAGCCCGCTAATTTTTTTTAGCAGTGCTCATCACGGTCGTCACAGAAGTCACATAGCGTGACATTACAGGATGCTATCATACAAAGTCGATGAAATATGCTTGAAGGAAAAGTGATACAATAATTGTCCTGGAAAACACGCCTGAGTCCTCTTGTGTCGTGTGATGCAATCAATGGATCTAAATGGTACCGCTGCGCAGGTTATCGAATTGGCTGCCCTCATAGCTCAGCCAGTTAGGGCTCAGGTCCAATGGTCCCATGGCATTCTTGACGGTTGCAACCAAGCTCCTCCCAGGCACTGGGTCCTTTCCCCATCCACCTTCCATTCCCTCCCGTGTGCTTCCTTTGTCTCCGCTTAACTCCCAGAACATGCTTCCTCGAAGACCTTCACGGCGAATCCAATCGCCCTTCCAATGGCCGACCTGCTCGTTGTCAAAGCTCACCATCTCTTGCTTCTGATAGTCGTGAGACCAGCTCGCCAGGGCCTTGTCGTCTTGAAACACGTATGTGCCTGGGAGCGGAAGAGCACGGTAGTCATAGACACCTTGCTCCCAGCTGCCTGGTCCAATGCCAGAAAACGGTGCTCCGGGACCGGACGTGTTCGTGAAGCTTCTACCGTACACCGGAATCCCGAGAACCATCTTGGAGCGAGGGACGCCGTTCGCGCTGTACCACGCAATTGCCTGTGAGGCGCTGATAGGTCCACCGTAGATGTTGGCCTGGTGATTTGCAACAGAATCCCATGAACCAGCTGAGATATTTTTCCATGTAAGTCAATTGGTAATCCAACCAAACATTTCAGAGCATACAGAAGTCGTACGCCATCATATTCCAAAAATCGAGGTACTGGTCCATTTCACGCACGTGTAACTTTTGATAGTTGTCGGGTCCGCAAGGAGCAGCGATCTAGTAAAAAAACATCTCAGATTTGAAGCTCAGCGGGATAGGTAAAGTCGGATGGCATACTGTCAACAAGAATCTATGATAGATTCCCTTCATTTGAGCGTGCTGATCTAAGCCTATTCTGAGTTCCCTTAGGAGGTCGGCGTAGCCACGAGCTTGGTACTCATTAGATGGATATTCATAGTCCACATCGAGACCATCAAGACCGTAATCCTCGAGTAGACGAACTGCAGACCGTACGAAGTTGGCACGAAGGGCGGGATTGACAACGATAGGATGGAACTTGGGGGAATATGTCCAACCTCCGATTGAGAGAAGGACCTTCAAGTGTCTATTTTGCTGCTTCAATTTATAGATGGCCTTGAAATTCCCGTAAAGGTTGTTTCCGACGTCATTCCAAGAATCGCCAGGGTAGTGAATATCTTTGTCCGCCCATGCATCAGAGAGAACAACTTCGCCTGAGTCAGGTCTCAGATCAGCGAATGCATAGAGAATGTGGCTAGATGGACAGTGAGCTTGAAAATGTAAGGCAGATAGTTCCTCACGTCAAATCTTGGGCAGGGATGTTCGACGGCGGGAACTTGCGAGCATAAATCCCCCTACAAGTAGGAATAATTGTTGGCGGACGGTCGACACTTTCTATATATGACCGATGAAAAGACGTACCAATTTACAAAGCTGGTAAAACAGTCAGGAGAGGTCGCTGTGAAGGAGGCCAACACTTACTATCCAACGCTGTACTTTCCTTGACCTTGCATTTCTGGAGTATCACTCGGTGCTGGCGGTATGGATGAAGATGTTTGGGATTGTAATGCTTTGGTACTGGAGTCTAGTTGAGGAGACGGATGTCGAATATAAGAGAACGCTTTATACGATGCGAACGCGAGGATGAAGAATACCAATCCAGAAAGAAAAAGAGTCTTGTGAGATGTAAAACGAGAAGCGGGTTTGGCGGGCGGACTATCTTCGTCAGAAGGAACTGCTTGGTACGATGTTGTCGAAGACATGCACGAGACTCATCCGCAGGTCATAGCTCCACAAAGTTTGGCATGCTGACCAAACTCAACCGTGCCGGCTAGCCGCTGCACAGCACTTCAGTACATCCAAGCAATCTCTCGAGCGACTGTTTTATGATGGTATCCACCCTACTGCTCGCCATCACCATCTTTCATATATCACGAGTCCAAGGAAACCCAGATCAAACTATACATTGAAGACGAGAAAATTTATTGTCCAAGAACTCACCCGAAGGTCGACAGACCCGCCACAAACTCGCGGACGTGCACCTAGGCCTGGATGATTAAACAAGTGGGGTTGCCTTCATTGAAAAGACCAGTCTCGTGCTCGTCAAGTATTATTGGGGCCCCAGCCTCAGGTTCAACCCCCCACGCGATGCCCAGCTGCCAAGTTACCTTGAAGATGAGATGGTTGAAAGCGACAACAACGAAGATGAGTATCTTCGTACTAAGCACTGGTACTCAGTACTCAGTACTCGGTACTTAGGATAGTCTCATTGCGTTCATATACACGTTTACAAATGTAAGCCCGCTGCGTTTACCAATACTAGCATTACATTGCTTCCGAGGACGTCTCGTAATCCCTTGCCATTGAAAATCAATATTTTCAAAACACAATATCCTGGCGAGACGGTCCTGAACCTTGCCTATAGGTGCTCATTCAGACTGAATTTGTGTTTCTCTCTCTCTCTCTCTCTCTCTCTCTCTTCTGTCTCAGCTCTCTCCCTCTCCGTCGCCTACCTCGGAAACAAGTTGCATCAGCAACCACCAGAATGCATGACGAGATCATAGAACTTACCGACTCTGACTATGATTCTAACGCTCGCACAGTGAAACAGGAGTCAAACGAAATATCTCACCTCAATCCGGAGGCAGATGCCCTCAAGGCAAGCCTAGCAGCTAAAACCAAGCTCGTCGCTGAACAGGGCAAGGAGTTAACTAAACTTCGCAAGGAGAATAAACAACTTAAGAACGAACAACACCTTCAGACTGCTGAGATTGCAGGGCTTCAAGACGAGTTGAAGAATATCCTACGTCAGCTAGATGACCAAACAGTTCGTGTATACCCTCCGTGACAAGAGGCTGCTCATTTACATCATGTCCTTAAAAGGTTAAAAATCTCAATTTTAATATGATCAAGCTCAACAACTTGAAGTCGAATTCTGTACACGACCTTTTTTTCGCTTCAGTTTTGATACTTACCCTTGCGGGCAGCCAAATGGGACTGCCGTCGAAGCCACAGAGCATGAGGACATTGACGAAGACATGTCCAACAGCTTCGTATCCAACCCTCTGGTGCCCGAACATCCTCCAGACGCAGCACCCTCACAGCAGTCAAACTCCAACGCTTCTAGATCGAGTCTGACCGTGAAAGCAGACCCAGTCGATACGACAATACAAGTGGTTATCAAGTCGGAAAATGAACCCGATTTGATTGAACGAGTTACGTTTGTCAAGAGCGAAGATGGCAAATTTGATGTCTGGAATCTTGAGCACCTTGGTCTTGGACCTCCAGTTGCCGTCGAAGAGCGGTTCCGCATCGGATTTCGGCGCTCCGTAATCAGCGACGTGAGTTCGGAGTTTCCCTATCTAGTAAATCAGGCTAACTCTTACTTCAGGCTCTTGGTGGCGGTCATCAAACCACGTCGAACAACTGGCAAGGTCGTACAAAATCGGATAAATATCCTTAGTGCGTATCTTAATTCTTGACTCTACCTTATATACCGCTATTAAAGTTAAAGTTTTGCAGCTTGGCCATGACACGTTCCTACAATCCACATCTCCCACTCGTTCCGGGCGGTCATGGTGTCGTGTTTTGTGGGGTGAAGCGTTTCAACGACGGCTCACTCATTACAGGGCCAATCGACCTCATCGCTTCTGACAAGCCAAATCAATGGGTATACCTTGGTTCGTATGAGACCTCCCGGTGGGGCGAAATTTCACCCCACCAAGTTGACCTACTCCAACCTCTGGTTATCCAACGTTGGATATCGGGAGCCCTGTCGACTCTGTGGGGAAGGAGTTGGGTCGAAAGAACGAATGCCGAACTTATAGACAAGGGTGGCAAAATTCATCTCATCGAGTTTACAGAAGACGGTCTTCGGGAGGCACTTAACGACGGTAGGCTCGTGATTAACTTCACCGTCATGAAATGTGTCGGATATCGTACGGAATGGTTCGAGCAGTTCTTACATTACCAGGCGCATCCGAAAACGCCGAAAACGCAGAAAAGGAAGAAGAAAGCGAGCTCGGGGGCTAAGAAACCCTCTGCTAAAAGGGTAAAGGGAAGCGCGCGTCGGAAGGAGGTGTCATCTGAAAGTGACGGTGACGACGAGTTGCGATCTACTCCGCCTGGTAGTGACGAAGATGAATTTTCTGATGTGGAAGATGGGATAAGCACGCCGGCTGTGCGAAAGAACCTTCGCATACAAGCTACTCGTGGTCTAGGTCGACGAACACTGTACTCTCGAGCTTCGGCAAGCTCTCTGGATACCTTCATTACATAGTCGAGTACTTACAATGCTATATCTTCAGAGATTTGTGCTTGCGAAATAGTTGTCATGATGTTCATAATCTCACCCACTTGGAAGGCACATCGAAGTGAAAGATCGTTTTGTGTAACTGACAGAGATGGGGCGCTGTAGATATATTGCTTCAAATTACAAATAAAATATCCAGGTACTTAGAAATACAATTCTTCATACTGCACTCGAGGAGTCATTACAACCAAACAGACCCCACACTGGAAGAAAGATTGAATACAACTAACTGTAACGGAGTGCGATGAGGGTGGCTTGAGTGAGAAGGACCGTAGACGACCTCCTCCCGATCAAGCGGTCACTGCACCATGATCATGCTCCCCTCTGTCATAGCAGACGAGTGATAACACCAAGTCCCTGGTTGTGTTGACAGTCAGAAGTGCAGTGGCAAATACGGAGCAGTCATCAGCATACCTTGGTCTTACCCTCACGGAACAACAACTTCATCCCGACCTTGACAAACTCCGGCTGTGTGATGAACTCGAACTGAACGGTAGCTCGATCACCAGTCCGCAGGACCCCTTCAGGGTTGTCCATCGATATGATACGAACAGTTTGGCGGACAGCCTAGAACTGATGAGAACTACGGTAGGTATGAGGAGATCCTACTCACTCCGCAATGAAGCATGGCCTATGCGCACACTACATCAGCATGGGCCGCGAGAACAGCAAGCTATTAAGCATACCTGATAGTTTTGTTGCATGGTAGTATTGTGGCTGCAAATTCTGCTCGGATTATTACATTATGCGAGAGGTAAATTTGAGCTCACTATAATATGAGGACCTGTCCTTCGAATTGGCGTATTGCTGTGAGTTCTGATGAGTTACTGCAAAATGATAGCAAAAAAATGCGATGTTGACCTTTCGGGGGAGTATCGGTTTTGTGCACTATGACCATACCCTTCCTGACGGCCGCACGTTTCACTCGCTTGAGAGCGAGAGCAACGCATTGGCCAGCCTCAGCTGTCGAAACATCAGCTCTGAAAGTTCAGTGCCCACAAAAAACGCTAACAGAAACCGAGAATACCGTTTTCGTTGCATGCTCCTCACAACGGTCGACTGGAAATGACCATTGGAATCTGGCCCAAAGAGAACGGGGTCACCTGTCTTGACGCTCCCACTGTTGAGGATACCATTGACGACCGTCCCCACGTATGGGACAGACCAGATATCCGTGATCGAATACTGCAGCGAAAGATATCAGTTGCACACTTGAATGTGTACCAAGGGCCGGTGCTACCTCAAGTGGTTGATCAATCGCGAACGTCTCAGTATCCGCCTCGCTGGATGGAAGGAGATTCAAGAACGTGCGAAACTTCAGTCAAGTCAGAACCCTCGCAAATCAGAAAGTGCATAACACTGACATAGTCAAGGCCTTCTCCAGTGACATTGGAAACGCGGAAAACAGGACATAGTCTATGTTCCATAAGCACCAAAGATTCACGATCGAAGACGGATAGGCTTACTTGTGTTGCGCAAATGTCTGCGACGATTCAACCGCGACTTCCATTGAGTTCACAAAAACTGGTGTTTTCCTACAAAGTCATGTTACGTGGAATCGAAGCGGAGTAAAGGATATGATTCACCTGCATCCAGGACTCTTCAGAATTTTCACAACCTGTTTCGTGGTCTCGTTAAGAATATTAGGTGGGGTCATATCAATCTATGTGAAAATCAGCTCAGCCACATGGTTATGGGGTTAATTTTTACCTTGGTAATACAGACAACGACGGGCACGCTTAAAGCCAGAGCTATTGCCAGATGCTCCTTCGACATGCCAATAAGCCCGGCATTGGCACCGACCATAAGAATCACACACGATGGCGCCCCGGACGTCAACCCGTAGAGAGTAGTTTTCAAATATCGCTCGTGGCCCGCAAGATCTACAATACGGAGGTATATATGCGAAACACAGTCACGTCAAACGGACTTACCGCTGAAAGAAACTATCTTGGCCGACTGTGCTGAAATTTCGTCCCAGCCAAGTTTATCGCGTCGAATCATATCTGCATCAGCAGAAGGCGGTATATTTGGAAGGACCGGGACTCCAGCTGTTGAAAACCCAAGGATCTGGGTGAAAATATATAGATTGTGTAGGCTGGTAGTGGAATGCAACTCACTTCCATCCCTACACTAGATGTCCGTCCGGTCTCAATTTCGTGTTTGTGGCGAAACAGTGCTACACGAGCTCGGCCTCTCCCGTCATCCAGGGGACCTGAGAAGAGATAAATAATCGAAACACGCGTGCACGCATGCGTGTATCATACCGCGTGTTAGAACTCCTAGTGTTGTAGACTTTCCCGAATCAACGTTACCGACGACAGCACAGCGAACCTCGGGAACTAATTCAATGCTGGGCGGAGGTAGTCGTAGTAGTAGAGTTGCACGTGGATAGTGGCTGTCAGTAGTTTCAAAAAGAACATGATATCTATTGGAAATAAATTCATGCTGCCTGTATGTAAATAAACCACACACCTTTCCTCCTAGCTCTTCCACAACCCTTTTAACTGATGATTGCAATGAAGTGACTTCGACATCTGTTCGCGGGACCCCCGACCATCCTGCTGCATCGTCCACGCTCTCTCCGGCAAAGAGTGATACGTGTGGTGGTCGACAGCCAATGCGGAATATGTACTCGCCTTTGCGTCCAGTGATGAGTTGTGCTACCGAGGTGCGCGCTCGGTCATAATCATGGATAGCTAGTAATGCCTGAGAAGAATTGAGTGAATGCACAAGATGGTGATGGAAGGTGGGGTACCAGGACGGCTTCAACCTCATCCTCGACGCCAGCATCCCTGGATAGAGATGGTTCACCGACAATGTTAGATTCCTCGAGTATCTGTATTTTCCTGGCATGTATATTCCGCGGAGCAGGAGTTACACTAGCTTGGCCACGTTGACGGGCGAGTTCCCGTGCGGAGATTTCCTGAATTTCGGATTGAAAGCTCCTTAAAGACATTGTGAGTTAGCGGGCAAATGAGTACTGTGAGCAGCACCACTGAGTCCTACTAGCTCTTTATGGGGTGCGTTTGAGTCAGAACGACTAACTGTGAGTCACGTCACCCTCGATGCCGTCACACAGGGGGCAGCTCTAATGATCATCTGGGAAAGTAGGAACGACCATTTATGTAAATGCTGTCGAGTTGTTGTTGGCAGAACTCGGGAGGTTTGCCAACCGGGTCTGGTAGAACAGATTGTGCCTGGCCCACAGCAGAATTCAGGTGCAAAGGGAACCTGGCCTCAGTTCATGGTGGAAAAATCATCCAACCAATTCCAAAATTCACCCACTTATTGAAGGTCTTTGCTATGATGATCCTCTCGATTGTAGGGCATGCACCATAGTGAAATAGAGTGTACATTCTCTGATATCTACACAATACAACCTGCGTGACGGTGTAATCTCTAGTCGACACATTCGAAACACTAGAAAAAATTCGTGCAAACCAACATCACAGCGCCATGAAAGCCGCGGAGACTAGGAAGTCCACACGCCATCGACATGCTCATGATCATGCTCACTCGTGAAGAGGTCGGCATTACTGTCGAGATCGCACAGGATTTTGAAGCATCCTTCATGTGGGTACTTCAGCTCTCTACCAAGCCTCGTGATGTATATTTGCAGGTCCAGGGAGTATCTCGCCCGACGACGTTGCTGCTGAATTTGCGGAATCAGAATCAAGATCCAGCTGTTCAGCTGAGGTTCAATACCCTCACGTGACGCTGGCCATATACTATACATCGTGCGTAACTAACTTGGTCTTGTTCTTCTTCATCGTCTTCGAGCCATATACAACTTCATTAACAATGGCCAGCCGGTGACTGCGAGCGTTATCCTAAAGATTAGTACTGGAATGGAAATCCTCAATACATTCGGATGTGCCTCGAGGTGGAGCTCTTTTAGGAAGCATCTGTAGGCCCCTACCTTCCCATTTATAAGGCCTTCAGGCCTGAGCACTGAGCACTGAGCCATCCCCACATCGAGCAGGTAACCAGAAATTACCTAACAGGGTAAAAAATGAAAAGTGTTGAGACGCAATAGAACCTTCTTCCAGCTCTTTTGCCTTCCTTGCTAACCGAGTGGCTCGTCCCTTATGCTCAGACCATCGCACACGATTGCTTCGTGCTTTTTGCCTTTAAAGGCAGAAACGCGCGCCGCAGAAAAGCAATCGTACTCGATGTCCATAGCACCCCTGGTGCTTTAAAAGAAGCGCGCAAGATGTGTGGATTTGCCACAACGCACGCGCTATTCATTCACTTCAAGGATCTAATTCCACCCTGCAGATCATATATAACCGCTTCTCTCCTCTCAAACACTATCACAAGATGCCTGTTGCAGGACGTAACACAGTACGTTTCCAGCCTACTTCACATCATGCGTCTTGTACTTATGACGCTTTCTCTACAGACACCAGTTGACTGCCCTGTCTGCCACAAAGTTATAAGCCGCAAGGCAGATCTTCCTAGACATATGCGTACGCACGATGAACACAAGGAGGCTCTGTATGTACTCGTACCTTATTATACCAGATGGTTTCTGACCCGTTTATTATCTGCATCAGTATGCACGCATGTCCATTCCCTGATTGCCATTACAAGACCCTCCAAAAGTCCAACGTGCAGACGCACATCAGGACCCACACCCGTGAACGCTCGAAGACGTGCCCTCACCCTGGATGCGCGTTTGCCACTACCGATCCAGCAAGCTTGACACGTCACCGCAAGCACCTACACAGCTACGAGCCCAAGGCGCGTCGCAACCTTGGGGGCAAAGCTGCTCGACGGTCCGCTGCCGCACCTTACCCATCTACTCAGTCTATGAGGCCCGAGGAAGATATGCCTGCATCGCTGGATCTGAATGAGTTAACATTCCACGAACTCGCAGGCCTCATTCCCTGTAATGCGCTCTCACCTACTGAGTCCAGCGATTCCGGTATATCTAAGTTCTCTGGCGAGCCTGCCGAACTCTCCTGGGAGCAACTCTTCCCCGATTTCCCTGCCGAGAGCTCCGCCTCCGTTCACGAACAGGCCTCTCAGCTCCCTATCTCGACCCCCAACCACTTCCAGCCCTCAACTGTCCCCGTCGATCTCTCCACTTTCCACATGCTGCAATTCGACCCAGAGCTGTTCTCCGATGCCAACTATCAGCAGCCTATTCCCGCCTTCGATGCGGATTTCCAGTACCAGCCTGTCCCCGGAGACCAGCTGAACGACTCCCTACCAGCTGAACTAGAGGAGTTTTTGCAGACATATGGCTCGGGGTACTTTGAAGGCCGCTGCGAGTACCCGGATAATGCAACGCACTCCATGCCCCAGCCCTCGTTCACGAACGAACATAACGGCTATTGAAATCTTTCTTGACTATCATGTTTCATTTTGTTGTCATATTACCTGGATCATCATCGGCATCCGCATTACAATTGCATTTGCAACTTGGCATTATCATTATAGTTCATTTATATCACTACTTGCACATATCTTCTTCCATACTTTTAGCATTGCAACCTTCAACTTGTAAATCACATTATGTGCATCATTACACGAATCTCATGACTATGAATTGATTACCTTATTACTGACATGCTTGACTTACCGCAATCCAATTTCCATGTTTGCCACGACACCATACAACTGCCACATACGCTTTAGTTCCCGAATATTTGGTAGCAATGTATCATGTGAAGGTTTGAACGTACCATAGTTAAGAGTTCGAAAGAACTCGAGGTCGGTATCAATAATAGGTCTAACGTTCGTGGGTACTTGAGACCACATTTTTCATAACAAGGAGTGAAGGTACATCATGCTCTCCATTGCACTACAGGATACTGCATTACCTGCTGGCACTACAGCCAGATAGAACCACGTCGGTGGTGCTTAGAAGTGAACTAGAAATCGAGAGAGATGTGCGCCGTTGTGTGGTCCCTCGGTAGATTTCTGTAGATTGTAATTGTGAGACTCTGCATATAGTGCTACGTCAGTGTTTGTATTCACTATTTATATACTAACAATCGAATATAGAGATGTGATTCAAAACCAGTATGTACTTCAGTAAATGAATAGATACTATATTTGGCCATTTATAAACTATTGTACTCTCACGTGACGCTGAACACTGTGGACTCCATTTCGACTCTTAAATCGAATGCTAAGGTACATAGATTTATTTCATCATTAATCCGACCTCTGTAGTCCTCTTTAAGCAGTCTAGCTTCGTCAAATGGGCTCTCAGCCAGCTCAGACGCATACTGCGGACCCGTCCCTTGCGCCACGGACAATTCGCGGCACTCAGCCTGGTCTCCTTGACCCGACCCAACCCTCCCGTCTATTGCGTGCTCCAGATTCCAGACTCTCCTTCGCGTCCTTTGATCCACGCACCGCTCTTGCTGGCGAAGATATCCCGGACTTGCACAAACTATCTATCGGCGAGGATCTTCCACCTCCCAAACGTATCGTCATCGAAACAACACCCAAAGGCACGAGCTTTTGGAGGTTTGTGCCAAAAGCCCGCCTAGATGGAGGTGTGCGCGATGAAGGCTTTTGGCCACGAGTAGTAGAAATATGTGGGTGAGTGACATCGTCAATCGATGTCCTTCCAGTTGTCGGAATACTGTATTTTCAGGGAACACGTGTTTTGCTACCAAGAACAGTGGGAGATCTACAAGCTGGACCCGGAATATCAGTGCACTGTTTACTTTGGATTCAAATTTACATCTGTTGTGAGGGTTGATCTCCAGGTTCGGCGTTCTAGGGCTCCTTCACCACCAGGCCCAAAGCGCGCGCGCGCACGCACGCCTACTCCTGAAGCGGACACCCCGCTTCCGAGTAAAAGAGCGCGTTCGCGGCGCGCTCATGTAGATAGTGATGTTCACAGCAGCGACAGTGAATCTGACGACGAGGAAGAAGTGAAACAAATGGTTGTTGATGGCCTTCTTCGTCGCAGAGCCAAACTCACGTCGGATGCCGTGCGATCCGGGAGGGAAGAGTTGAAAAAGGAGCGAGACAAGCGATGGCAGAAGAACAAGAGCGCACAAGCAAAATATAGTCAGGAATCTCAAGCTGACGGACAACCGATGTCCATGGATGCGGAACAATTTGCATCTCAGAGCAATACTGGGACGCAAGCCGAAGGGAATGCCAAACGAAAAAGTTTGTTGCAACCTCTGCTCTTCATAGCGGTCTGACACAGGTGATAGAAAACGGATTTACCGCTGACACGGACGATGAACTGCCACAAGAACACACCCCTACCAATGGCCATGCGCGAAAGCGCCAGCGAACCACACCACCACGTCAGGCCAAGCAGGCTCTATGTCACTCAAAAATGCAACGGGAAATACGAAAACAAGCAAAAGTTAGGGCAATGGACGAACGCCATCAAAAGGGATTCAAACAAGTGTTTGCAGATTATTACCCAATCAACATCGACGAACTGCGTATGTTACCGTTTCCAATCTGCTCTTTCGATGATTCATATTTTTTCTTCAGTGAGCGATCGTAAAGAGCCATCGATATATCCTCAGCCCGCTACTTCGCAAGAACAGTCTGAGTCTCGCAAGAGTGATGACTCGAACGAAGAGGCAATGCGACAAGCCGAGCTCGCAGAGTCCATTCGCAAAATGCGAGAACTTGACCGGGATAAACCTCTTTGGGAAGAACAGCGAAAGAAGCGTGAGGCGCACGAACGTGCTGAAGAACAGGAGCGCCAGGCCAAAGCCGAACAGCGGAGAAGAGCTGAAGCAGAAAGACAAAGGCAGCAACGTGAGGAGGCCGAACGCCTCGCACACCAGGTTCGAGCGGAAGCCGAACGACATGATGCAGAGGAAAGGCAACGACAAGAACATCGGCGTCTCAGGCAACGACAGCGCTGGGAGTCCGGTGCGTGGACGAGTCACCGAGCCCTGGAACGATACAAGGTTCTCAGTGAGGAGTTTGACGCCGCGAAGTTCACCCCTGATCAGCCGGTCGCCTTTCTTGACATCCCGTGGCCTGTGCTCCATCATCCTTCCCGTCTAACAGTCGAGGACGTCGACTGGTCCGCGGTGGAGAGATTTTTTGCAACTGTCAAGACCTCCATGCGACCTCAAGACTACAAAGATTTTGTGGAAAGAAGTCATCGGCGATTTCACCCGGATAGATGGCGTGCCCGTAAGCTGTGGTCAGCTATTCGGGATGACGTAGAACGCAGCTGCCTCGAGGTTGCCGCCAATACAGTCGCCCAAGCTATTACGCCGATCTGGAGAGAAGTGAAACCACATTGATGCCAGTACGTCAAAGTATGCATACATGGAACGTGCGCATTTAATAGATACTCTCTTGAATTGATCGCTTCGATTGAGTTTGTTTGTGTCGATGGGCGACCATCACGCACACAGAGCTAGAATTTCATCAATAGACGAAATCCTCCTAAACATTCTGGACAAGTATGACAACTGCGACCCGTGTACAAGGTTTTACTGGATGCGATGGGATATTTGGTTCCGCCACTCTTCATCCCATGAGCCAATATGCGCCCGGTGTCCAGACGGACTCCGATGGGCGCAGATGGATGTAGACTCGTTGACGCGCTAACCGTCGTCAGAAAGATTGTGAAGAAACGTCTGATTTCTTTCCGAAAAAGTGATTATGATTGCGTCAGATGAGTTGGACCTAAGGTCAGAACCGCAATGTTATTGATATTTACTTCCACATACACACGAACAACTGGCCCCGTCAATAATTCCGAAGCCTCTCATCGCCATGTGAGAGCCCGGGTACCGGTTTGGGGTTTGTAACTAAATTGTAGCCGCTCGTAACCACACAATATCGTGACCAAGACAGCACAGGGTCAATCTGCCAATCAACTGCAATCATTCTGCATTATGTCAGCAACTGAAGACTGTACTGCCTGAACATAATAGACGACTCCGTTGATGCATTGAATGAGGAGCTCGAAGGCCCTGATTCGACCTGGTATGTGTATTCCCAAGTTCAAACTTGACTGATCGTTCGCCGATCAAAATATGCCATGAAGGTAATCACACCCCTGAGACCCTATCTCCAAGGCAGAGCAGAGAACCGGTTTATGATCTTTTGTGATAGATGAAATTCTTCACGTTCTAGTATAGCCTCGCTACCAAAAGTAACACCCGATTAGAATGGTCGTCGCTTCATGAACCAGTCGGTAATAATCAGAGCTGACCTTCTTCATGCTTCCTGCAGTATCATGGTCGTGTAATCCGAACTTCGACCTCAACACATATTCAATATGGAAGCACAATGTGAGCTAATGATTAGCCTGCATCAAACCTTGTACTCCATTCCATTTTACATAGCTATAGCGCAACTGCATTATCGATAAGTTTGTCATCATTCAATGCCAGACTTGGCTCAATTGCGGGAACGTTGCGACTGGTAAGCCGAAAGAAGGTTGACGACAATTGACAGGCTTATTTTTATGCCCGATATTTCCAGGGAAGTTGCGCGTAATCCGGTAGCTAGAGCCAATTACGGCTTTTAAGGCTAGTATCCGCTATTTCTGCCGTGATGAATTTGACACCCCGGACTGCCAGTGGCAGGCCCCTGATCATTCACTTAGTGGGGACGTTGGGCGCACACGCGCACTGCTCACACCCATGACCCCTTCGACCGTGCGCCCTTTGCCCATGCACGCGCACCAAACATGGTGACCTTTGTCGGGAATTCCTGATTCGGATTTCGGCGCTGCGCCTTGTAAGGCATTTCAAAGTTTAAAGGCAAAATGGTTTTTGGAAATGGGATTTAATAATTCGTCCGTGAAATCGCCATAGAATTGTTGTTGCAATAGCAATGCAAGGGTCTTGCAAGGGTAATACGCCGTGCAAGAGTACGGCACGTTGCAATGTGGTTGCTATATTATCGAAAAATAACGACTTCTTGCAAATTCGTTTCATTGAAGAATACCTCATTGCAACCAAATTTGCGACATTAAATAATCGTCGGACTTTGGACTAAACCTCGCGACGCACAGTAGTTGTAAACGCCTGCTAAACCCAAGTTTTCCTAAACTTCGCCTAACAGTACTAGTCCTTAAGCTTTCGGTCCAATACGTTCAGTACATAGGATGTTGCTATCATATTTCACGTGGTCACTCAAAATTTGATTAAAATGTTAACTATCTTAAGGCGCGTTTAGTCTAAAGTCCGATGGTTACCTAAGGTTACCATGTTTAGTACTACGGGGTCGTTTGGCATCTGAAATTGTGCGGGAAGATGGAATTTTGTCGAAGGGGTTATGGGCGTGGGTAGTGGGCGTGTGCCTGCGTGTGCGCGCCAAACCTTGAACGTCCCTTATATTAAATATCGTGCAGATCTGTTTGATCAAAATCCGGCGGCCAGGGCCGACTACTACACACGAGAATCCATTTATTTTAGTATTTCGCCTGTCAGGAACATCCCTTATGAACATATAAAAGCTGGGCTATGCCACCGTGTCTGGACTCCCGCAGTCCCCTTGGATCTACTACTCCAATGTATACCCCAAGCACTCTCAAGCCAGCCGAAGTTGCTGTTGCTCTCGTCGAGCAAGCTGTAGCCAAGCACAACACGCGGTTAGACAAGACCTTCTTCAAGGCGGTAAGCAACAAGTACGCGCATGTATGGTTTAACATCTCAATCCTGCTATTAGGTTCTTGCCGGTGTTATGTTGTCCTTCGGTGGTCTCCTTGACCTCATTATTAGTGGTGGCTCTCCAGGTCTGACAGCTTCGAACCCCGGAATTGTCAAGGTTCTCGGTGGTCTCGTATTCCCTGTCGGACTCGTTATGTAGGTGCCGCCCCCTCAGTATCGCCAGGCTATGGTCTAATCGTTATACCCCTCCATAGGATTGTGCTCCAAGGGTTTGATCTGCTCACGAGTAATCTTATGGTAGGCAGTTTAGCATTTGTGCAGACTACTTCTCACCCCTTACGCTACTTATAGATCTTTCCCATGGCTGTATTGAAGAGAGCGATTCCCTGGTGGAGCATTCCCGTCAACTGGATTGTTGGTAAGTACCGCCCAAGTCTTTTATTCATATACTGAGCACGCTATCGTGTTAGTCTTTTTCGGAAATCTCGTTGGCAGTCTGTTCTTTGCAGCAATCCTTTCGAAATGTCAGTTCGCGTTCATTGGCTTAGATCGTATAGGTTGACACGTCATACCTAGACGACGGACTGATGGTAGCTGATCCTTATGCATCATACGTAAGGTCATTTGCCATGTGAGTCACTTCATACTATTTGGAGATCCACCGTCTCAACAACCTCGTCAGTACGAAAGCTATCACACCTGGCTGGTATCAGATTTTCCTTCGCGGCATCGGTTGTAACTGGCTTGTCTGCATAGCCGTTTGGGTACGTATATCGTAGTGTTGCTCCGAGCAATTACTTATACGGGTGTGTTGTTTAGCAAGGAACAGGGGCCAGAGACACTTTGTCGAAAATTGTCTCCATCTGGTTCCCCATTTGGGTTGGTGAAATCGACAAAGGTACCGATCTCGACTCATGTATATTTTCTAGGTCTTCGTGTCTTGCGGGTTCGATCACGGTGAGTCGCAGAACATTCGGATGCAAACTTCCACCAATACTTTTTACTAGTTGTCGCAAATATGTTTTCACTTTCGTTGAGCATTATGCTTCACTCTGAGGTACATGTTTCACATGCTAACCTGCACTTGGTATATTTCTAATTACTTTCTAGCTTACGACCGACCTGTACATTCGCAAGTATGCACCGAGTCATTTGTTCAGTACATCTCAACATTTGCTGATTACTTTCTCAGGTCGCTGATTGCGTCTTTGATTGGCAACATTGTTGGAGCTCTCTTCGTGGGCTTGCCAGCTGTGTATTTCTATCTTGGTGATTGGCATGCCGATGGTATGCGTGAGGCCGAGGAGGCCCGCATAGAGCGCAAAACCTCGGAGCCTAGTGACTCAGAAAAGACCGCATAGGCGGGCTAACACTGGGACACTCATCATTTCTCATGGATTGGACGACTATATATGGACACATGCCAGGCAGCATGATTGACGGAGAATCCTGGAGATACGACACGAAATACTGGAACGAAACACGCTCAATTCATTCTCAAACGATCCTCCACGGGCGGGTGTACGATGGGAGAGGTTGGTATTTATGTGTCATGAAACATCATGTTGTACACAGTTGTAGGGAGAGGCAGACGGAAGGGATCGTAACATAATGTATTGGTCGAATATCGCAAGTATTAAGCTTGCGGTGCGTCGAAGTTTTGGATGTTTTGTGTACTCTACAGGAATTATTACATGTTGTCTGCACCACTGATCAGCGCTCAGCCTGGAGGCCTTAGATCCGAATGCTTCAATACCAGGTCAGGGGGATCTGAAAGTCTGTAATCCCAATTGAAGGACTGAAAATAGATAATGTTGTCAGTAGCACTTGACCTGTAAAATCTTGATCCGACGATATATGATGTATGATGACCCATGATGTCACGGCCGATAGCTAATAACAACCAGGGATTCTTCGTCACCTTCTATTGATCAACGTTAACTTCAGTGATCGAAGGCGTAGGACCGTCCGAACGTTTGGATTAGCTTTATAATTAGAAATCGACATTATCTACAGCATGCTAGTCTAGTTGTGGCTTCACAAGAAGAACTTAGTGTGAGATGCAAGTTCGAAGGGGGAGATCGAGACGAAAATAAGACGGATAGATGTTGAGAACCAGACTTGAATTCGGGCTGAGATGATGGACTCTGAAACGCTAGGAGAATACTTTTGATTTAATGACGTGCGAACTGTTACAGTGCTCCTTAAGTATCGTAGCGGGTAGCTTGGGTGGCTCACATGTTCCAGGTAGAACGGAGAAAGGAACGATAAGGGACAAAGGCAAAGTGTCAAAGCGGTGACGATGACGAGTAAAGATACGAAGCTCGTGTCCTGCAGGTTGTGTGAAGATGTCATAGTGAAATGATAAAAGAACGTAAACTGGAAGTACAAAGAAAATAATAACGTAGAGGGATGGATCCGCATGCCTCGGATGAGAAGACTACAGTGTGCGAAGCACAAACGCGGCGCCTCTGTACAGTGCCATAGATACATACAGTTAACTTCGTAGTCGATTTTGGGAAGGAATATACCTAAAATGCACTGTTTTTACTAATTTCAGGTTCTTTGCGAAGTTGTTTCAAATTTTCAAACAAAATTAAACTTATCACTGGCATCCCTCGACTGAGCAAGAAAACGAGCCAGGCAAAATCTCAGCGTCGCGGCGGCGCTCGCTTTGTGCAGCAGTGTTCCTTCGTCGAGGCTGATGAAGAAGAACAGGATTCAACCTATGTATATCACTCAAGTGGCGAAGAAGAAGTATGGACAGACTTGGATAGTATCGAGGATGAACCTGAGACTGGCAGCCTAGCCGAAGATATATCAGCTCTCCAGACCCTGTACTCGGCATTTCTTCCTCGTCACATGCAGTCTAAAGGGGCTCCGAGTCAAAAGGTGAGTTATATATATGGAATGCTGGCATCGATGCCAAGCAAAATGATGATGACGGACTTACAGGGAAATAAGCGCAAGCTTTCAGACCGTCCTGCAATCTATAAAGGAGACTCACGGACGACACAGTGGCGACAAAAAAGGCAACGGATTAAGGCTGTGCAAGGTTGCGGGACTCTTGATTCGTTCTTCAGTCAACAGCCGAAAACTCCAAACAATGGACCATTGCTGGTCGAGTCTGAGCAGGAGCTACTGTCTGACTTGGAACAAGACCCTGCACTGGATTTCACACTTAGTACTTGGGCGACAAGCTGCATTCGCTGTGAGAAAGTATAAGTCTCATCGACGCATTGGTATGACGGCGGAAGTCCTTGCATGTGTTAGCGATGCCGCGGCGGTGCAGAACAACTTCCTGTAGTTCTGTAGTATCATTTCTAGTCACTGGGCATGCCTCCTCGGACTCCCAACACTGTTTTTCTCATAATGTTTCAAATTCTTGTGACGAAAATTTTGAACTTCATTTTTTTGAAATTCTGGCCAGCTAGCATTAAACTACACATAAAATTACATAGATATACACTACTTTCACTTGAACTGTGTTAGTTTTCGTCTCGTAGTAGTCGTCGTACGTCGGGGTTACCCGAGGCGTCGAAAACCTTCTTCGCACACTGTAGAATATCCCCGCATCGATAAGATATTCGGAACGGCTTGCGTCTTTGATTCAGAAGTGTGGGTCCGGTGTGCGGAAACGTGGGTGAATCCCCCCGCATGAAAGAAGTATAATATTTTTTCTCCAGGTTGGGGAGCCTGGGTCGGCTTTAGCAGAGCCCCTGATTGACCATGCCAATACCCTGGAATGCGTTCCGATGCAACTTCCGAGACAGAAGTCAATATCTTCAGCTCGTCTTTGATAAGCAAAGAAGGCGCTCCCTCGGCCCAGACACCTTCAGCTTCTTCGGTCGGTACAAGTGCGCGATGGTCTGGCCGTGGGAAAATAACACCGGTACTATCACATTGACCCGTAATCACATTTGAATCCACCAAGGCTTGTAGAAGAAAGAAACTCACAATGATGGGATGTAAATAGCGTGGCGGATCAACCCCACCAGGATTGCATGCACCCAGGACCAAGTCAATCCTAGGCACTTGGAAGACAGCGAGTACCACAATGACCAGATGGGCACCCTGATGAATGTCATGCTAATGAGCTGGTAGCACAGGTAGAGCCCTTTGAGGGGCTGATGTATACATTCGTACATCGTAAGCATTGGTTGGAGTAAAAAGAAAGATGGCAATGGCCATATGTATGACTAGCATTTGACTCATCAGTATTGATGACGGTGTTGATAAGCAGCATCCAGATCCAGATATCCACGAGCTAGACACAGATTTTTGTCAATATTAATGTCCACATTGTTGCCGTAAAACATCAAGCTCAAAGATCACATTGGCGCCTACCGAAAAATGGATTTTATTGGGCCAAGTAGATGTTGGCTAAGTCTCCCTTAGGCAGACCATAGACAAAGGAAGACGGTCGTTCCTTCCATACTAACATGTCGGCAAAGATTGTGTCGGCAAAAATGGTCTCACAGTCTTATCCGTGGATGGAGCTGGGGCAGTCAAGAAGCCTGTTTCCCCAACATCCGTTGATGTGGGCAAACTTGGCCAGTCCTGTTGGAAAATCGAGCTAAGTATATACACACTGACATGGGAGGGCGCAATCATACAAATAGAAGTATTACCATTGCTAGCTAGCAGAAACCGACTGAAAGCGATGGGAGAATGTGCGAGCTACAAAAAACTGTGCGAACAACAAAAGACAATCAATTGTATGTAAAAAATCTGAGTGGACAAAAGATGAATGCAAGATAACAACAGTGAACAACGACTGTGCTATACTGACTTGGATTCGGACACGGGAGAGCGAGAGACAGTGTGAGCCAGGCGCGCAACGAAAATGTGTCAGCAAATTATGTTAAGGAAACTCACCAAAAAGAGTACAGTATCATCACAGACTTCGCAACACTGTAGGCTTGCTTACATTCGCTTGGAGGAGTTGCCGAATGGTGGGTGAAGAACGCCTCAACTCAGTCCTTCCGACCGTCCTCCCGACGTTTTTTTAGAAAAAATTGTGACAGATCTTACCCGAGCCGTTCCCATAAAGTGTATGTGATTGTGCTGCCGAAGTCAGCGTGCGCGACCGTACTGATGTACTTATCTGAAAATCAGGGCGAGCGAAAAGCAGCGGCTCCTTTCCTGGGATAGTTCAAAGAACATGCGATATTCCAGTCACAGTCAAGTCTTCCTAACATCCGGAAAGTTGGCTTCAGTGCTCAGGAGAGCTTCAACTGTCAACGCACAATTATGCAAATAAGTCGAGTGTATCATGCGCAGGAAGGATGAATGAAGTAGGTGCGATATGAGCTCAACAGAGTGCAGCTTATTCCCTCGAGAGAAGGACATTGTGTTTGAAGGCCAAAGGCTGCGTCCTGCCTAAGACAGACCGGCGCCGCCATGCACATATGGATTAGAAATATAACAGGGCTGTCGAACTCCCCTATAAAAAGAGTCTGCAGGATAAATCATTCTGATCGTTCACGAAATGGTTTCAACGTTCTCTGGGACATTGTCCGAAAGGGCTGGGGGCCAGTCTGGGAGGGGACCCCTTGAAGTAGATTCAGTAAGCGAAGAAATATTCTGAAAGGGCGGACATTACTTCCTCATATCCCACACATTCTCGCTGCTCTTTCCGAGCCGTCTGTGAGCCCACCACTCGGCACGGCGGCGAATCCAAGCGTCCCGTTTCTGTTCTGGGTGCATGAATTTCAAGCTCATACAAAATTTGAAGTCTTCTTTTTTAACCCCACACTCTGACATTTGGCCGTATCTGTATAAAGATTTTATTTGAGTCCCCAGAACTGAAAGTTTGATGAGCACTGACACTTTCAAGAGTTTTTAGAATATACCGTGACATTGCAAAAATTCATCAAACAAGGTCATGCACCCCGGAACATTGTCCACGGTAGGATGAACCTTGCGTAGGTATTCCTCCTCTTGTTTGATCGCGGTTTCGAGGTCGACGCTAGCCATATCACAAAAGAAGGAATGATTTTGGTCGGCAGCGACGGCAGCCTGAAGGCTGAGGATATCCTTACGTGGGAACTGAACGCGCTTTAAAAATTAAATTCCGACAATTGAACGCGTCGCGTCGCGTGTTTTTGTTCTTGCCATCTCCTTGCATCATCGCTCGATAAAGCTACACCATGGTGAGCGCGGAGGACACAGAAATCAGACTGATGTTTATTAAATCTACACATCATAGTCTCAGACTCCCAGAGGCGCAAAGCGTCAAAGGTCGCCTCCCATTCCCAGTTCATCGCCAGCTCCACGTCCTACTCCAAGACGGAGAGCTTCACAATCGTCTCTCCCACCGTCTTCGCCTCCAGCACCCTTCTCGGATACAGACGATAGCCTGGATGATCGTGACGGAGTGCGTGATATAGATGAGGACGATGAAGACGATGGCGAAGGCGAAGGCGAAGATTTGTTTGCGGACGACATCGAAGCGTGCGTGTCAAAGCCCATATTTTTCTAGGTACCTCACTCTTATGCCACTGAAAATAGAGATTATGCGCCAAACGAACTACTGGATCGCTACTCCGACCGGGACATCGACGATGAAGGAGATTTTGACGAAATTTCAGCAACGGCTCGACGAGCAGCTGAAGCAAGGATGAATCACCGTGATCGCCTTGAGCGCGCAGGAAAGCAAGGCGTTCGAGCAGCTAATAGAGGCCGTGCGCCTCAGTTCCTGGATGATGATGACATGGACGATGAAGATGCTCTTGGCGATGATCTCGGCGTTGCCAGAATGAAGCGTCGCACAAGGCGACAATACGACGAACGTCGTGATGTAGATGATGTGGATGGTATGGACGATGTTGGTGAAAATCTTCGCGGTCAGTCGGATGTGTACTCATCCATTTTCTTTAGGAAATACCCCTTGAGCAACTGAGTGATATCAAGGCTAAATCTATCGTCGAATGGATTGCCAATGATCGCGTTCGCCGATCAATTGTCAAACATTTCCGGCAGTTTTTGATGACCTACGTCGACGAAAACGGCGCATCAGTCTATGGCCAGCGCATTCGTAATCTTGGAGAAAGTCCGTATAGTTAGTCTATATCTTTTGCAGAATTACTGATGGCCTGTTGCAGCAAATGCCGAGTCACTAGAAGTATCTTATCTTCATCTAGCGATGTCTAAGCCTATCTTGGCTTACTTCTTGACAAACTCCCCGGCCGCCATGCTTACAATCTTCGACGAGGTTGCCCTGAATGCTATTCTCGTGTATTACCCATCGTACGAACGGATCCACTCGGAAGTCCATGTTCGCATTGCAGACCTTCCGTTGAGCTCCTCGCTCCGTGATCTCCGACGTTCCAACCTAAACAATTTAGTCCGAGTTACTGGTGTTGTAACTCGACGGAGTGGTGTATTCCCGCAGCTGAAATACGTCAAATTTGACTGCCGAAAATGTGGTGCTGTTCTCGGCCCATTCTATCAGGATGCAACAAAGGAGGTCAAAGTCAGCTTTTGTGCCAACTGCGAGAGCAAGGGCCCGTTCCCTGTTAACTCCGAGCAGGTTGGTCACATTTCGAAATTATGATAATACCTGCTAAACGCTGCATGATAGACGGTGTACCGCAATTACCAGAAAATGACGTTGCAAGAGTCCCCTGGGTCGGTCCCTCCGGGGCGTCTACCAAGGCATCGTGAAGTTGTTCTCCTATGGGACCTCATCGACCTGGCAAAGCCTGGGGAGGAAATTGTAAGTAATGTTAGGCGCTTTCGATAACCCACACTAAGCACGTCAGCGTAGGAAGTGACTGGGATATATAGGAACAACTTCGACGCCTCTCTTAATTCGAAGAACGGGTTCCCAGTATTCTCCACAATCATCGAGGCCAACCATATCAACAAGAAGGAAGATCTTTTTGCGGCGTTCCGTCTTACCGAGGAAGACGAGAAGGAGATGCGCGCCCTCGCACAAGACGAACGTATTCGGAAGCGTATCGTGAAGTCTATTGCGCCTTCTATTTACGGACACGAAGACATCAAAACGGCCCTCGCACTCTCCCTGTTCGGTGGTGTTACGAAGGACATCAACCGTAAACACCGCATCCGTGGTGACATCAATGTACTGCTCTTGGGTGACCCTGGAACGGCGAAGTCGCAATTCCTGAAGTACGCGGAGAAGACAGCTCACCGGTCTGTTTTCGCAACTGGTCAAGGTGCATCGGCTGTTGGTCTGACTGCCAGCGTCCGCAAGGATCCCGTAACTCGGGAATGGACGCTGGAGGGAGGCGCTCTTGTCCTTGCCGATAAAGGAACATGTCTCATTGATGAATTTGACAAGATGAACGATGCGGATCGGACGTCTATTCATGAAGCGATGGAACAGCAATCCATCTCGATCTCAAAAGCTGGCATCGTCACGACGTTGCAAGCTCGATGTGCCATAATTGCCGCTGCTAACCCTATTCGCGGAAGATATAACCCAACAATTCCCTTCCAGCAAAACGTCGAGCTGACAGAACCCATCCTGTCTCGGTTTGACGTGCTGTGTGTTGTCAAAGACAACGTAGATCCGGTGCAAGACGAACTACTAGCCCGATTCGTCGTTGGAAGTCATCTCCGCAGTCATCCCAAGTTCGAGGCTGACAGAGATGAGATGGATGTTGGCACGACCCTTGATGCCGATGTAAGTCTATTCAGGTCTCTGAAGCTGTGGTCCTCCCTAAACTGGACAGATTATACCCCAAGATATCCTCCGCAAATACATCATGTATGCCCGAGAGAAGATACGCCCGAAGCTCTATGACTATGGACCAGGATAAATTGGCGCGCTTGTTTTCTGATCTCCGTCGCGAGTCACTAGCAACAGGTTCATACCCCATCACTGTCCGACACCTGGAGAGCATGATTCGGATGGCCGAAGCCAGTGCAAAAATGGCCCTGCGGGAATACGTTCGCGCTGATGATATTGACATGGCTATCTCCGTTGCGGTAGGGAGTTTTGTCAGCACTCAGAAGATGTCAATCAAGAAGACCCTTGAAAGGGTATAGTACTCCACCACTTGAGATCAGAAAAGGCACTGATGGTTTGGGCAGGGCTTCCGAAAATACTTGACACAAGCCCGTGATTATGAAGAGCTCTTAGCTTTCCTTCTTGGTCAGATTGTGAAGGAAAAGGCCCGTTTCCACCAACTACAGAGACACGAACAACCTGAGCTTATCACGGTCAAAATGTCTGAGCTTGATGAACGGGTGAGTGGTACCTTCGTAGGAGTTGTCGTGAGCTCACTGGTTCTCTAGGCGAAGGAGCATGACATCTATGACACATCGACCTTCTTACGCTCAAAGCTTTTTGCTGCCAATGGCTATAAATTGAAGGACCAGGTCATAGAGAAGCGGTTCTCAAACTGACACGAGATTCCATATACCCTTTCAGCATAATTCTTTGTAGTGAATTCCGTGCGCTATGTATGGTCATGTAGGCTGCCGAATTGAGTGGTGAATATATGAGGGATAATTAAACATGATACTCCAAGTAGGATAACGGCGCTCTAGATTTATGATGTGGAAACGGGTGATGAGGGATGCCGGGGCTGGGCAGGTTCCCGAGGTATGTCATCTAGAGTTGCGTACTCCACCTCGGAAATCTTGGCATCATGAGGGCGTAGCTTGACCCTGGGATTCATCGTCATCATCATCGTCCATAATTTCTGCGACGGAATAAGCATAAGAGATTTCCTAATGGGAAAACAAGCTTACCCTCCCCATACACGTCGGGGTGTTCCCGGAAGCAGGTTTGCATGGCCTTGAATTTTTCCACGCAATCAATACCTTTTGGTTCCTTTTCAGAGTAGACGAAACATGAAAAGGCCTCTCTGAACTGTGGACCACATGGACCATGGGCCATTCCACCGAGGCACGGGCAGTCCCAATTGATTTCACCTGTCACTGGGTTATAGGCACCTCCAGATGACTGTTCTTCACTTGGTGCTTCTGCTGGTGCGGCAGGTGGTGTTTTATCCGCGTCCTCCTCTATCACGGGTACTGACGTCTCAGGGGATGCCTCTTCTGTTTGTTGTATTGGAGCTGGAGAGTCTGCAGCGGGAGGTGAGGGAGCTGTGGAGACCGGAAGCTTCTTACGTGCTACGAACGTGTCAGAACAGCGCTTACTGTTGATCTAAATGAACACGTACCGGACACAGGTTGAGCATCGAGTAATATTCGCTGACTATCCGAGCTCAGCGACCAAGCCATGTATGCAGCAAGCGTGACGGTAGCTCCCAGTGCAAGTCCAGACCTGGTTGGATAACTTTTGAATACACGCGCGCTCGAGCCGGCATTCGTATGGACATATCTGCGCAGTGGCAGTCGTGTAACAGTCCTGAGCATAGTGGGATACCCAGTAGACAAAAACTAAAATCCGAGAAGAATGCTACAAAAATTCGGATTTGTCACTTCACATGATGACGCGCGCCCGTTTACGTTTACTAATCCCGAGCCAAATATTCGCCACACTACGAAAGGGCAGACTCAGTAATTATACAAACTCTTTAACTCAAACTGTCAAGTCTCCGATCCCTTGCTTCGCTCAGTGCTCAGCCTCGTAGAACACCATGTAACACAACGAACTGGAACTCCCACAACGCAGTCACTGACTCGTGCGCCGTGCATCCAGAGCCAGCTGCATGCCTCAATATCATCATGAGGTACCGTAGCATAATATTTATGCACATTTCCCAACACTTTAAGGGCTGTTGTCATTGTTCTGACCTCAGAGCAGATAGATGGTACTTGATCCACCAACTGAACAGACCCAAGCTAGAATATACGCAAGTTAGTAGGGCCAGATATTTCATATTCCTGCAACTCCGCCCTTGTCGTGAAACAGTGCTTATGTATAGAACGTCACATAGGTTGCGCAGCAGTTAGTAGCGGCGGCCCGCACAAATCCCCGACTCGGACGCCCTTGACCAGTCAATTCCTTCCCGAAGGCTTGTACACAACGTTCCACGATCTATGCAATACATATGTCTCTATCGTTCCTGGTGTCTGGCCGGCGTTTCCCAGGACCCAGAGTCGCGTTCAACACCCTTCACAGGAATGGCCTTCCCGTCAATATTTCAATGATAGCCGTTCAGTGCTGTTCATGTAAAATCTCGTTGGCTTTAGTCCACCCAACGCCTTTTGTATTTGCAGGCCATTGAGATCGCCTTAAGTTACAGGTAGTATCTTTTTACATTTGACCGGCCTATTCTACACTGCCTATTTACCTGCACTGTATCAGTTGTCAGTCACTTGACGGATCGGTGGCAGCCGGGGCACTGGGTAACAGTGCGGGGAGTGGGAGCCGACAGCGCATTTAGGTTATCCGCATGGTACGAAGGCATATGAGCAAACCCGGGCAGGATCAGCATTTAGTAGTGTGGCTACAAGAGAGAAACGAGTATCCAAAGGAACCGCACTAGGGTGATGGGCAAAGCGCTCAGGAGCACATTACAGTGCATGTATGACGCCATCTCAAAGTGAGCGCGTGAAAATAAGATGTTATCTTGTCCCAGGCGTACCAGAACATCAGATGCGGGGCTCTCGGCAGGGAGATTTGGCTCAAGACGTGAATTGCTGTAACCACGCACAGAAAGTGAAAAAGACATCGCAGTGATACATTGGGTGATACAAGGGATCATAAAAAACTGGGTATGAAGGTATTTCGTGTGCGATTCATCATATGTGCAGTCTTGCGCCAAAACGGCGACATGATTGCGGGAGATCTGGAACGGTGATGATGATCAATGTGAGGGAGGGCCAGGCCTGAACCTTGTCAGAAAAAGGAAATCATTTCAGGCGCCGCCGCCGCCGTCAACAAAAAAACAATAGCCACGCAAAAGTTCAAACTAGACTCGTGACCAGTCTGGACTACGTCTTTGAGATGTTAATGACTACGTCAAGCACTTAACATCTCAAAGACGTAGTCCAGACTGGTTACGAGTCCAAGTTCAAACCCCTGAATGAGTTTGGTGACGGTTTGATTTGCGCATACATTTTTCACAGTCCGCTGTATTTATCGCTGTATATTACCAGAGCAAACCTAACAATAATATGAACCATGTCACAGGCACCTCTTCATCTTCGTGCTCGACCACTGCAGTATTTCACCAATGAAACATTCAATTTCACTTTTGCAAGCCCTAGCCACAATAGATTAAGTGTATACATGAAGGTGGAACACTGCCAAGGAAATACTGTTACGCCTAGTCACGACAAATTAAGTGTATACAGAATCAAATGCATGAAGGTGGAAACCTGCCAAGGAAACGCCTGCGCGAAGGCGGCCAATGTGAATTACACACGGAGGACATTTATTTGGAACTGCGGCTGGACAGCATATTCACCGCATAAAGGAAAGACGCATATGACGAAAAATATGTTCAACACTGACCTCGAATTAACGACTCAATCTGATGACAAAAAAAAATTATTGCGAGAGGTGTTCGGGCTCATATACACTGGCAGTGCCGCTACATACAACCAATCATTTTCACCACACCAGCTCTCCATTCATCATCTGATCTAGAGTCTGCACGCCCGACTTTACCTATCCTGCTAATTCCTGAGACTGTGACGTCAAGAAGCGGCTTACACTGGTGAAATAGTCGATGACTCGGATGCTCCATTGGCAAGAAACAGTAAATGAGAGCGGCGCAGCATCACCTTCAGGAGGCAAGGAATAACTCAACTCGCAGAAAACCTCATCCAAGATGTTGACGGGGAGGAAGTTTTTTTCCGCTGAGGAAATGATGCACTCAGTGCCCGCCGCTGATTCATTCACCCACTGGATTAGAGAATTACTCAGTTGTTCTCGCGCCGAGGAATGACTAGGACTTTTTAATGAGCTTCTTGACTTAGATGCAGAAGGAATCAAGGATCTGGAGTTTCCACAAGTTGATAATGTCCTCGATGAATAGATTTATTGCTACCATACAATGTACATTGTGTACTGTACCGAGGGCGTTGATAGCGAACATGTCGAGAAGTTGATCATATGAAAAACGCCGAATGAAATGGGGGAGATCCGGAATGCCAAGCTCATCTGGCAATGGAGATCCGCCGCAGCGGTAATGGTGGCGGCTACCTGATTTGAATGTTTTGACAGTGAAAGGGGACGTTCAATCCCGGGTCATGGCCCGGGAATGAGTGACTACACCCAACGCCTCACCATGCGGCACGCAGCACCTTCAGGGGCGCCCTTTTTTGGATTCCAATTTATGTCGTTTGCAGAGTGATACTCTATGTAGGTCAGTTAAATCTAGTCTAAGGACCCACGGCGTGAATGCCCTGGTGTGAGGACCTCAGGGGTGGTGATGTGACCCCTCAGACTGAAGATTCGATCCCGGAGAACATAAGCACTAGTACTATCATTGCAAGCGCTGAGTGATACAGTTATGAATGAACGTAAAATACAGCTTCGCCATGACACGTGGTGACTCGGAGCTAGTCGTGGAGCCTTGTCATATTGGTATCTCTTGGTACATGCCGCTACAACTCTCGCGATATTTGTGTTTCCCGGCGATCCCTTGAGTGGGTAATAAACTTATATGCATTCTCATTCGATCACAATAATGGGTACATCAAATCTGCAGTAGCCACTAAAGTACACTCAACTATAGGCTATAGCCAACAAATACAGAAACAAAGTGTGAACGTAAGATAGTATCGAAGCGAAGGGAGTCATGATGCATGAAGCGGCGGAATGGAGGGAGAAAAAGGTGAAATCAATGGCATGCGAGTCAGCATTAGACGGTATGAGAAGGCACGAGAGTATGCAAGAAAGTTGCAAGAGGGCGGAGTACAGTTTCAGATGATGCAGGAGAGATACAGAAGGCTACTAAAGTTAAGGAGACAAGGAGAAATGAG